AGTCAGTCAGTCAGTCGGTCAGTCAGTCAGTTGGTCAGTTGGTCAGTCAGTCAGTCGGTCAGTCAGTCAGTCGGTCAGTCGGTCAGTCAGTCAGTCAGCAAATCGGTCAATCAATCAATCAACTCATTAATTGATCGATTCATCAATCAATCGATCGATCGACCCGTCAATCAATCTTTCCATTGATCAGTCAATCAGTAGAAAAATCCATCATTCAATGGTCTCTTTATTAATAATTCAGTTAATCAATCAACCAGTTATTTATTTTAACAGTCCATCAATCGATCAAGCAGTCAATAAACTTGGTTAGTATATACCAAAACAGTGGATAGCGTCGAAGGCGCGCCCTGATTAGCTACTCAAACTCCGCATTTATCTGCCATTCACCTCCGAGCAGCGCTTACGGGATCTGCGCCCGAAAATATTGTAATCGTAGCAGGAATAAATGAGTTTAAATCATCTTTTTGTGCGATATTATCTCACTGTTGTAGTATATACTGAAAATTTTATTTCAGTCCAGTGTCAGTGTCTACCAGTGGCTCTAACCACCTCCACTTCGGAGGATAGTTGTCAATTTTTTACTCAGTAGGAATAACTGTATTAAAAATCGCGAATGACGATAACTAAAATTAAATAAGAAGAGCCCCACTGCTTTTCCCTAGTCCCCCCTCCCATCCCAACTTCTCTATTCGCGATGAAGAAAACTTAACCCTCTTTGTGTGATTTTAGTTAACCATGACAGGTGCTGTGTTTAGCTTGGACGGAACAGAATGTCTCAAGGAGACTGTGACGGGAACCCTCCCAGACCCTTCAGTCCAGGATGGTAGCTGCCCTCATGCCATACTCACCCAGTCGAGTATTTATGTCCCAACGGGAATGCGTGACATCATTGTAACAGCTGAAAAACTGGGCGAGACGTTAGCGCAGGCCTTAATCGCCAGAGGAGCTGAGAAAGTACTGCGTAAGGCGAGAGAAGGAAAGGACCTCGTGCAACAATGACGGAATGGAGCGCAAATAGACGATTTTTGCTTGAAAATTCGTATGAATGTCGTTATCTTAGCCACTGCGCACCCACCCCTCCCCTAACTCAACATTAGCCTGGACTTGTTATCGGTTGACTGTTGTTGGGTTAGTGGAGGTGTACGTGCACAGTGGATCTGAAGCTAACGTTGTTCCGAAAATTCTTACATTCAAGTGCTGATTAAATCGATCAAAATTTCGGGTGTAATTTTGACAAAATGGAATGGGATTTTTTTTGGGCTTTTAATTTACTTTCGTCACGCAGTCATTTTCTTCCCCTCACGAAATGTTTGTCCGAGTGAGCATTAATATGCATGTTTTAGTAGATGGGCAAAGAGAATAAAAAAATTTTTATTCAATTTCCTTGCATTTGGTAGTCTTCCTCTGTTTGGTCTTCCATCAGAGGTGAGGTGTAATTCTCTCTTTCAACACGACAGTTTAAAAAGACAGTTATCTCGTTTTAAATTTTATTGTTCTAATTTAAAAAAAAAACAAAACAAAACATAGAACTTTCACCACTTTGTTTCTCACGGTCTCATCGAATTTTCGTCACTTGTTGGTGATCTGCTTTTACCGCTGGGAATCGCAAGATTTTTTTCCCTTATTAAACCTGAATTTGCCTGACATTTTAGAAGGTTTACATCTTGAAATTATCTCTCAGTTTGCAATAAGACTTTAAATTCCAAAGCGACGCGATTTTTCAAAGCTTTAAAAATTTGGACCACTGTTAGTTCTTTGTGTTAAGCCAAAATAAATGCCTTGTCATGATTATTGTCATCAAACTTATATCTGAGCAAAACATGACGCGGAGGACCGTGCTTTGTGTCTGCCATGTTATTATCGTTATTATCATTATTAGTATCAAACTTATTTCTATTTCTGAGTGTTTTTGGCAGCGAAAAAAAAGACAAAATGATTCTGGTTTTAGTTACCTTTCCTGTCATGTTTAAATCATCTATTTTATATAACAGCAAACTATTAACATCTGTTGTTTGTAATTAGACCAGAGATTTGAAATGAACTCCGAATACATTGCAGATCTCTCTAAAACACTTTGCTGATTCCAATTCGCCAAAAAAATAAAGAAACTAAACTCCTTCTGGTGTCTTTGAGGCACATAACGTGAGGCAAAAATTTGTGGTATTAAATTCTTACTAACAATACGGTTTATTCCTCGAAATGGTCAACAAAGGCAAAAAATTTTAATTTCAATGTTATTTTAAAAAGAACATGCCTTATCTTTCACGGCCTAAGTGTAACCTGTAACCAACAATTGCATTTTTTAGCCAAAAAGTTTGACTGTTTAATTTTTGAGCAGATGTACGCTTAAAAGTGTCATTTAGTCTGTATTAGAGTAGTTTCATAACCACCGGTCGGATAGATCAGTTCTTAATTCGCTGTTCACTTAAACGGTAAGTATAGGCGCATAATGCAATCTATAATTAAGAGACAACACAGGAACACGAAATAACGTCATAGGAAAAATAAAGATGTACAGATAGCAACCTCGAAGGTAAGGATTTATGTTTCTATGTATCGCATTGTTACAAGAAAGCGATCGTAAGCGTTCATCATTATTGAGATATTCAACTTCTTTTCCTTTGGACTCCATTCGACTGGGTTATAAAATGAAACGAAATGCCGTATCTAAGAGAGAGAGTTTCGCTGAGGTGAAGGATAACTTGTTGCCGTTAAGCTCGAAAATTTTCTTTATTTCATTTATTAAACGATGTTTTTTAGAGCAACTGGTCAAACTGAAAAAAAGTGCATCGGAAATTCGAGAATGCGCGCCACAAAATCGAAATGTAATTTGCTTTACCGTAACTTAAAAGTAATTGCATTTATTCAGGCATTGTATCACGTGTCTTTTTTTTAATTTTAGTTATTAACCTTACAGCTTTGAAAAGTCAGAAACGAATTTTTATCAATTCTATTACATATAAAGAACAGCTGTATTGACGTATGCTGAACGAAATGTGTTGGAACTAAATATCCTTTTGCTTAGAATCATTACCTTCATGTCATGTCATGGCGCTTTTTTTTTGAGATCTCAGAGTCGTTTGAAAGCTCGCGTGACCTCCTTTTGTCTACAAATGGAAAGTTACATGTAACTGAATATCCATATCCGAAGATCGCGAGAATTTGTAATGTTCTTTTCTTTCTTGAAAGATTTCCATCTGCCTTTTTATTAGTAAATAGAATTTTGGCGTCTCTCCTGTTATGCCATATTATCAAGAAGAAATTTTACAGCTCTCATGAAACATAAAACTTGTCCGTCTCAAAAAAAAAGACTTTAAATCATCTTTTTTAATCATATATAGTCAATTTTTTTCGTGCCACTTTCCTGCATTATTTGAAAACATTGTCTCAGGTCTATTTAGGCGGAGCAAAGGCACGGCATTTTACCTGGCCTCCAGTCTCCGATCAGATTCAAGTATATCTGAATCTAGCAGGGCGGGGAGACATGTTTAAGCTGACTCTATAATATTGTATAAAGGGGGTAGTTTATAAAGAAACTGTGGTGCTGTGTCGGTGGGAGAGTATAACAGGTGATTTAGTGTTACCAACTGAGTTGAAAACGTAAATTAGCAACCATAAAAAGTTTAAAGGCTGGCGTTTCTAGCGTCAGCCCCTCGTCAAAGAAGGGCTAACACTCGAAACGTCAGCCTTTTAAACTCATTACAGCGGCTTATTTACGTTTTCAACTCAGTTGGTAACACTAAATTACCTGCCTATAATATTGTGTTTGCTCTACGTTTCCAGGCTTAAGCAGTACTCTGTTACATCGTCATTGTTATCGAAACAAAGAAAAGACAAAAAAAAGGTACATAACTAAGTAAACAAACTAATACACTCACATAAATGGCTTTCGCGCCTAGAATCACAGTTTTATTCGAAATGGTTGCAAACCTGAATTGTGAAGCGTGCCTAGTCGACAGAATGCAGTCTGGGAAAATGTAACCTCAAATTTTTCCGTACCCTGGGCCTTCCTCGCTTTTTATGTGTGTGCCTGTTTTTCTTTTCGTTTTTGGAAAGATCATCATTTACGGGCTTCTAAGGATTTTATTATAGTGACGATTTTAACTTTAAGAAGGAAGCCGTTTGATCACAAGTTTTCAACAATTTTCTTTATGCAATCCATGTTCTCTGCGGACAAAAAAACAACACAGCACAAAAAAGAGGAGACATCTATTTAAAGCGTTTCAATCGATAATTCATCAATGGATGGAATTTACAAGATAGAAACTTACGACAAGGTACCTCAAACTGTCACTTGTCTTTTTCTTCGTTTTATATTGCGGGTTTTGTCGGGTATGAGTAGGGAAGATCACGACTCAGTGTCTTTGGCATTCCAAGTTTGGTACGTGTTTTAAAAATGAAGCAAACGAATTCGAAACCACTAAAACCATATGAAAGAACTGTTAGGCAAAATCTTTTGAGGAGTAGGCGTTGTCTCACACACGATCCATATAGGGTAAGTTAGAGTATGGGAAATTGTTCGGTCTCAACTCCTAATATGCTCCATTTCTTCTCCATAAGTTGCTTCGAGACTACGTAAACGTGCTACCATGATTATTATGAAATAAGTATAATAAAGTACTTATGCCGAAATATCCTTTAATTCTTGTTTAAAAGTCTGACTATGATCTCTTGAAAGATTCTCATAATTTAAAGGATCTTAAAAAGCCTGATAAATTTTTGCATTGATGGTCCGCATTAAAAATTAGAGATGAAAAACAGTTAAAAAGGCAAGGTTTAACCACTTTAGTTGATTTGCGAAGTTATCCATGGTCTTTTAGAGTGTTGTGGACGCGCAACAATGAATATATTAGCTCATGGCTTTTTACTCAACGGCTTCCGTAAACTTGGCAAACCCCCAATACACCCTCGCGTAACACTTGGTGGCACTTTAGGTAACCTTACTGACAAAACAATGATAGCAACAACAATAACAACGACAAAAACAACCACAAACCCTCTTAGGCCCGCTTTCGGGAACATAATTTTTATTCGTAGCACTAGAAATCTTGAAGATTCATCTAACCAGCAACTACAATTAGCTGCAATAACAACATTGCGATTTGTAAATTGAAAAAATTCTTTAATATAAGATACTTTGCAAAGACTGTTATGTTTCACCTAAATACAGTGAGAATTCGAGCTCGAAAATCTCCCATGCGAAACAAATGCAAAGAAAAATCACTAACAATCAACATCTCAAAATGTTCATTAACGTTTACTTCAGAAAAACTACTCCAAGACCAAAGAAAGTCAGAAATGAGAAGGGATGTGGGAGGGGGAGAAGCAGGGTGATCGATGGGTAACGCAGATATCATTCGCGTTTGCCCCTTTCCGCAGCTTTGATTACTAATATAATCTTCGCTCGGTTTAATTTATCAAATGAGCGCAATTAAGACGCCATATATTTCCCTAACATGTAGCTTGGTAGCGTTCTCTGTTCGTAACAAGACGCTGAATATAAGACACTAAAAAGCAACTAGGGTCAAAGCTCTTCTTTCTTCAATTGCTCTTCTCGTTTTTGGCCCTGACTCGCTCCCGCAGAATCCGCGGGCTCTTTCAGCTCCACTTTACCCGCCAGAACATCTTCCACCCACTGTTGGAGATGTCGTAATTTAAGTTCCTTTCCTTTCCTTTCGAACCAAGAACTTTTGCTCTGTTTCATAAAAGAGGATATTTGTTTTATTTTTCGTTATTTTTGTGAAAACACAAAATTGACGGGTAAAGTAGTGTGGGTATGAGCTACATAGGAAAATGAGGACGTCACGTGAAGGTTCGAGCGCTGAACTCGCGAACCAGAGGTCCTGGGTTCGAGTCTTTGGCTCTGCTTGCAAAAGCCAAAAGGTCTGCCTTCTTAAGCTTGTCTTTTCATCACTCCCATGTTACATTTCAAATATTTCTAATTAACTTTCAGAAGACTCTGTGTTAGAACATAGCCTTTGGTTATCAGAGAATATTTATCTATTCTTCGTTAAAAGAACTTACAAATTTTGGCTCAATGACCCCGATGACAGGAGAGTTCACATCGATATTGTACGACTTCTGCCAGTAATCACGCATCTGAAGTAAAAGGAAAAAATATACACTCAGTTTTCAGTACATTCAATCGTTGATTTCAGGGCGACTCAAGGTTCCCATTTGACGAATATATCCTTTACTCTCAAGCTTTTCAGTGTTGCCTTTGTGGAGAGAGGGTCCGCAGATAACTGTTTTTAAAGAAATGTCTGAGACGTTATATATGTTTATAATCCATCAAATATTTTTGCTCGCGTGCGTTTGTCTAAACGCAACACGTGAGCGAATACGCCTCAGCTGAAACTGGAGAATATCTGAGGATATACCCCAAGTGATATTCCCCAATTTTCAAACCTTACGTCCACGAAAATGAAAGTTTCGTTTTAAATGTGATTCAAGATGAGAGAGCGTTTAGCTTTTTGAAGAAGGGGCATTTTTGTTTGTTCATAAAGTCGTACATAGGAACACCGAAAAAAAAAACATCTCACGAAACAAACAGTAGGCTGTTTGTTGAACTCTTTCCCTCGAGTTGCAGAAATGTATTAAGAATGATAACAGTAGCCTCAATTGGACGCGAAAATATGCTCATGTATTTGTCCTTGAACATCATCTGTTCCTCGAAGCTCGCAGTTTTCCTCGAGCTTCGCTCTTAGAAAACTATTCTCGTGACAGATAATGTCCGCGGATAAACTCGTTCATACTTTCGTGCCAAGTGAAGGCTATTGTTTATTTGGAGAAGAGTCTTTGGTTATTTTCGTCCGATTTTTCTGATTGCTCCAAGTACCAAGTTCAGAAATATTCACGATAGTTGTTAGACTACTAACGTTATGAAATACGGTGGAGCAGTAAATTCCAAATACACGTCACATAATTTCGTACATCACGCACCGTAGGGAATGGATCAGGATCGACCCACAAGAAATGTAATTTCTTTTCGTCTCCGTATCGCCTGGCCAGCGACTTTACCAAAGAGAAGAATTGTGAACCTTCTGTTCAAAAGGAATAAAATGGGGAAAGTTCATTGAGTTAAGAATTAAATAGAGTAATGAATGAATTTTTGAGTGTCACGATTCCTTTAGGAAGGAAAACTATCAATTTCCATAGCCAAGTTACCATCATAGAGTTTGGCTCTTTGTGAAATATCGTGAATGCGTGTTTCATTGTTACACGTCGAGTGAGTGCTTTTATTTTTTCGGATATGCTCCATAGCAAAGTTCAGCAACCAATACATAAGTTAACCACCCAAACGCATCTTTCCAAATGGTACTTGCGTTCTGTATGTTTTCCGTTATTGGATTCACTTTGACATGAATAATAAGTTCTTTTCGAAATGAGACTGGTCGCGATGAAAATCCAGCAGAAGGATTCAACAGAGAAAAAAAAGAAATTGAAAAACAAAAACTCACCATTCGTATCAAGCCTCACGAAAGCGGTAACCAAATAACCTTCCACATTAGTTGACTACAACAGATAACAAGATGTTGTTATGTATCGGTGTCAAAATCACTAAAATTGTTCGCTATTTCAAAGAAATACACTCTAAGCTTAGGCAAACCACAACCTACAATAAATATTGCTTTCACCACGTAAAGTGTTTTTCTAAGAAACAAAACCAGAAAAAAAAATCAAATCAAACACACAGCAAAGTGATAAACTGCAATAAAAGATGCGAACTTACGAAGATTCGTCAGAGTTTAGGATAAAGATAATTTCACGAGTCCTATATTAGAAAGCAAGTAACACTCCTAATCTCTAACGTCCCAAAACTTAGGAACAGCGAATTGGAAGTGCTGGTCTCAAATGCGAAGCGATTTTTGACGATTGTCATAAAGTTCAACATTGGTTGAAGGAAGAAACTCATTTTTTCCTCACAGTTTTTTAAATTGTGAATCATTTAGAAGGTTTCCAGCTACCTTTAACTTCAAGATAAAACGTTTCACATGTAAATTCAATTATGAGCTCACCCATGTATCATGTATATCTTCAAGTCTAATCTTCGTTAAAATGCCTCTGCAATATACAAAGGATTCAAAGAGAAAACATGACTAAATATCTTTGATGGTGGTTACAAGCCAAAAAGGAGCTGGTCATTACTATCAGCTCCCAGTTGGCTTGTTAGCTCACTTGGTAGAGCGCTGCACCGGTATCCCAAAGGTCATGGGTTCAAATTCCGTACGGGCCTGAATTTTTTTCAGGCCTCGGTTCAACTACTAGTTAATTAGTGGTCATAACTGCGAGGATCGCTTCCATATTCGTTTCTTCAATCGCAGTGCAAATATATGATTTTCATACGTTTACAGCCATGCCTAAATATCTTTGATGGTGGCTACGAGCAAAAGCAATACGATTATTTCTTTTTCATTCCCAAAAGTTTAAGCAATTACAGTATCGGTCAATTGTACATCATTGTATGTCATTTAAGTACATGTACATGCCTAATCACGCCTAGATGACCTGACATACTGATCATGACAATTTCTCATTTATCTGCCATTAAAAATAACTGAATACAATTTACTCCTGGCGGTGTAACAGGGCAAAAACTTATCTGTTCTCATGTTAATAACACAATAAAAACGAAAACATCGCCCTCTTTCCTCTGAATTCTCACCTCTTGTTCTGAGCAATAAAATTGTTGATGTTTTCTTCTGTTATGGTCTGAAATGAAACATTAGAAACGTCTTAGGGACGAATTAAGAGTTTTGGAAAGGAAGTCTTTCTTAAAGAAAGTGTAATTAATTTTCATCCCCTTGATTAACTTTATAAATATACTGCAGTAAGTCTTTCCAAGAATGATCTGCAGCACACTCATTATTCTATATCCTCCCACACAATCCTACATTTTTTCTCCCCAATCTACATCTTTGTTGAAAACCATGTCAACAGGGAGCTCTAGTAATTGAAAGTAACAATATGTACCCCTCCCTTTTCTTCCACTTCCTCCCGTTTTAGCACAGTGAGATTCACTACCAGTGTAAAAAGTGAAAGCACTCGCTGCTGCAAATAGAGTTTTTTCGCTGATACAAGGAAGGGCCAACAGAGTACGCCGCACTGATCGTGGCGTTGGAACATTCTATCATTGCTACAGTACTAGGTTTTTCCCACTCTATGAATCGAATTAGTCCTGGTCTCCTTGGTAACTGTTTATTGGGATCCAACGCAACGGACCCTTACAGAAGCTTTGCGGTGTCTGTCACAGAAACGGCTGCGAGGGATACGAAATCAATTCAGGCCACAGAAATGTAGCGACCGAGGTTACTAAATCATTTACCTAAAGCCACAGAGACATTAAAAAACATATCAACGCCGCTACCGAACCTGATATGACTTTATGAAATAATTTTTACCTTATCTGCTGGGTAATTGACAGGTTTCTCATATGGTTTCAAGAGTTGTATGGTTTTGGGTTTCTTGAGCCGAAATGATCTGGCAAGCTGTGGAGAAAATGGGTTTACTGCCTTCAGTTTGATACTCACGAGAGTTCACAAATTACGAATTCTGTGTAAGATGTATGCAACTTGGGCAAACGGTTAAGGATAATTTCAACGTAAAAGTGATGTAATGTAAAGTAATGTACGCGGGCAGATTCACGTACCTTCTTATCAGAAACAGCAAAGAATGGTAATAAGGGTTGATGCTGCGTGGCCGATTCTTCGAATGCTTTGATTTCTGAAAGCAGTTTGACCAATTATTAAAAGGGCCAAGCTCATTTAGCGAAAAATTTAACCATCAAACATTGCAATAGAAACTCATGTCATTAGAAAATTTTTGATAATCTTCGTCGCTGCCTCTTACAGTTAGGTTCCTGTAATGAAAAAATGCAATGGTAAACAGTAACAGATCTGCTCGCAGAGATTCATTGAAAGTGAAGCAAGAACAGTGTTCCTTGATCTGGGGTTCAGTTCTCGCATGAAATCATTTCTGGTATATTAAACAATCTAAATTCTATTGAGGGAAATAAAATCAACAAAATTTACAATTCTTGCTAATTCAAAACATTCCGGCTTAGCTATTTGCGCACCAGCTCAGAATTAATTTTAGTTTCTACTCTAGCAAATAAATTTCTCAAGGTCTTATTCCATTTACAGTTAACGTTTGACAAAGCCAACACGTTTTTACAAATACTGTCAGATAGCCCCTTGAAAATGGCTACATGATGAAGTTGAAGACGCAGCAAAAAGAAACTGTTTAATAGAGAGTGAAATTCATCGATTCATTCAATCACGTTTTAGGAAGACATCGTAAGTTTATATGAACCTGGCGAGTCTTTTTCCAAGTAAGCTATTACTTTGCTTCCATCAATATCTTCAAACGAAGTCTTCTGTTTCTTGCTTTCTATGAATGAAACCGGGGGCTCAAACATCTGCAAAAACAAGTTAACAAACAAGCAAAAAGTCTTTAACAAGTCCATTTGCTTACCAACAGCAACATAATTTGGCATTTCTAGGATCCTTTCCGCAGCTTCAAACAAATCGTGAGTTGGTCATTTCAGAATCGTATGTCGCCTAGTTTTCATAACGAGTCGGAGTGGAAATGAAATTCCGTGATTAGCATAGATGTTCAACCATACACATAAAGCTTTTTTTCTCTCTGTACCAAAGGATACCCGAAAAAAGTAGCTTCTCAAAAGTAATTTCCATAACTAAAACTTTTAAATATTTGGATAATAGACGGTCTGCTGCGTTTAGCTTTATTTTCACGGAGCCTCTCAGGTGACAAATTATAACGTAGAGTATGCCGTTCACGTGGAAGGGTTCAACCCAAGTGCCGCAGACCACAACGTGAGTTTCATGAACAACTGCTCCGTTGGCCATTGAAAAGATGGCCATAAGTAGAAAGCAGAAGAGAAAGACTCTGTTAAGTCAAAGGTAGCCGTCCAGATTGCTGATAAAACATTACAAAAGGTGGTGCCGATGCGAATTTCTACTGATAGAAATTCGCATCGCACACCACCTTTCCAGATAACAAATTTCAGGAGGATCCTTAGCAGAAGTCTCAAAAGGTGAGAGCGCACCCAAACAAACTTGTGGATGATCAGCAACCTGTAATAATCTACGGCAACCTCGGCAAAACCCAACAACACAGTAGAAACCACAGCTTATTAAAATAGATGGTTTTGTTCTTTTCTTTTAATAAAAAGAGAGAGATTCTTTTACTTTGTTAACCGAAGAAAAAAAAAGTGAAACTGAGATTTCGTGCCGGCAATCATTAATGCGACATTTTCTCAACATTTATCAAACTTAAAACTTGCTAATGACAACATGTTGCATAATTCCGAGCCATCTAAAGCAAACTACTTCTATTTCTAACGTCATAAATTCATCAAACAAACAGGTGAAGAAAAACACGATCTGATTCAGGGTGGTATCTCAATAAATAACCCTCTTTCTATCTCTGATTAGCTACATGAAAGAATTCGTGATCAGATGTTGGGTTTATTGTGTAAAACATCTACCAAATTTTCGCGGCACTTAACCACTCGCTGATATTCACCAGTGCTTTAATCTCTTAAAACAAAATATATAATATATGCAACAGCTAAGTATCATTGCTTCTTCACAAGGATGCTGCAGACTGTAAGGAAGCCTTTGCTGCTAGTAAAAAACACCTATGCATGTCTTAAATTTTCTAAGAGTTCGTTCCAAATAATGTGTTGGTTCGTTGTAACAACTGAGGGGCAAATATCCGCTTCAGTTGCTTACTAATGGGAAAAGGCGGCCCTAAGCTTGCAGCGGCTAAGACAAACACTCTCAGAGAAAATTGAAAACGGGTCACCTTTTTCAAGTGTTTACTTAATTGACGTTGAGCGACAAACGAATATGCAAATACTCATTGCTCCACCATCATCTTGTTTCACAGTCTGATGTTATTATATTTGAAACTAAAACGGTAGAACTTTGAAAGAGCGCTTCTCAAAGAAGGTGGATATGCTCCTACCTTGCGAAGGAAAACAGCGAAACAATTAAATAATGATCAACGTCATTAATGGGCTGTTTTCTCATTTCTCCAATTCAAAACTTGCTAATGAGCACAATTCACATAATTCAAAGAGATCAAATTTAATGTTTCTTCTTCAATAATTCATCTCACAGACAAGGGAAAGCAATTTATTCAGCCTGAAGGTGTTATTTCGACATGACCACAAATTCTCCCAACTAATTTAAAGGGAAATACGCCGCAGTGAAATACGAGAGCTGTCAAATAGATATTGGGTTCATTCTGGAAACACCTGCCTGCCGAATCGTCAAAATTCCCAATCATTTGGCTCCCCGTTTGTAATAAATTTGTGTAAGTGTCGAGTCACATTGCTTCTCTTGGAATACTTGACAGTGAAGTATGCCCACAAAATATATCTCATAAATGAGATATCTCACCCCCCCGGCCAAAAAAAGGATATAATCTTTCCCTAAATAATAAAGTAGGAGTAACACCAGCGCTGTTTAAATTGTGATGAAATTATTTACTTATCGAGGATGCCGCGTGACGAAATGAAAATGGCTTTGGAGACAGAAAATGGAAGCCGTAGGCGGTCGATAAAAGACCTGTATAAGTGTCTCATATTTTCTAGGATTTCGTCTCAAATACTTCATCAGTTAGTTCTAATAATTTCAAAACGAAATTCTACTACAAATGCTTATTAATAACATCGAGCAGCTCTAATCATGCCGCGGCTTAGACAAAGCATGTCGCTATGATTGAAATGCGTTTATTTGAATGACGTCAAGCTAGAGACCGGAAGACGGAAATAGTTATTTCCATCAGAACTTGTTTTAATATTTAATGTTTATCATTTCAACCCTCAACGGCTAAACTTTGGTAACTGAGGTTCTTTAATTAATGGTTCTACACCCTTAAAAACGCTGCTTCAAAAGTAAAACACATTGTACTGACTCAAAAGGTAAGAAAGACAGATAATATTTTGCTACAAAGCTATTTTTGATCACAAAGTCTACGGAAAATTACGCAATAAAATTGAAGGTTTGTAATCTTCAATTTTAACAAACAGATTCCTTAAAACGAAGATTCAGCAGAGGGGATCCGCACAAGGGAAAAAAAGGAAAGATAGGGAAAATTTGCTGATTAACGGCAATCTCCACGGTACATGGCAATTTAGCGATGACTGTCTTCCGCATATGCAATGTCTGACACGGAAAAAAGTGAAACCTTTCTTTTTGAATTTCAGGCTAAATCATCTTCATAACAGTCACCATTGTCTATTGCTCACTGAGAAGAAAAGGGATATGTCCAAAATACTCTTGCGTTTTGCTGATTAGCAAGGAAATTGTGGCAGACTTTCTCTTTTCTCCAGGTGACACCTCTAACAAACAAACTCGTCCTCTACACAACTTTTAAAATAAGAAAGAACAACTCGAGAACGACTGAGAAACTACACAGGGTATATTGCTGATAATTGAGACCTGTTTGTAAAAGATCCAAAAGCGACCTTATGGTAAAAACAATTCGCATTTCCCTCTGGAAATGCACCAGTAAGCTTTGGATCTTATGGCTCGCTTTACCATTTCCGAATCCAATTTTTAAATTGTTGACTTAAGTTACGCCGTTCGTTTGACGAACATTGGATAGATGTCATTTTCCGTTTCACTTCAAACAACAAACACTACACAACACACGCAACCTTATGTAAATTTTTAATTAGAAAGCTGATTGTCGATCGGACAGTTCACCCTTAACGAAAACGTCTAAAAGATAAATATTCAAAAATATAGTCTTATCGATGGGGTTTTTGACACCTGAAGTCTCTTTCATAGGGAAATCCATTGAGGAAATAATGATAGTATTCTTAAAACATGAATGCAAATTCTGTTAATGAAATGGTTTTGACTTGTGCGTTGGGAAGATTGGTTTTCCTTAATGGATTTCCAGTAGGAATATTTTATCCGGAATTCATTATCTCACAGTTATGCACAGCTTTTGTACGTGTAGATAAGCTTCTATTCAAAAACTCTTCACTGCTCGGCTAGTTATCGAAAAATTGGACGTTTTTAGGTTTAACATTTTGTGCAAATAATTCGATCAGAATTTGTAAATAACAGAATTTGGCAAAAGTGTTTACATCACTGTTTCCACCCATTTCAGCCTTCAATATGATCCCTCTGGCTAGAAATAATTATGAAATTTGTCACTCGCAGCTGAGTTAATGGAGTATGTATGAACAGTCCAATTTAACTGCCAAAATTGACCATCACATGATGCGAAAAAGGTGGCAAAAAGGATATAAAAGTTAATTCACTCCTTTCGTATAGAGATGCGTATCTCATGTGATAAGTTTTGTTTCACAGCAATAACGAAAGGATTATTATGTTCGCACATTTTCGATTGAACGCTGGTTACAGCGAGTTCATATTCAACCCACGCTCATGGAATAAGAGCAAGATATTCTATTAGACTACCGACTGAATTGAACACCAATCGGTCCGTTTACCATGGTGAAGAAATGAGTAAGCAACCACGCAATACGAACTTAGAATATTGTTAGAGAAAATTATTAAATTTTCTATTTATATGTCCTCTTTTCTACGTCTTTTTTTTCATTAAAAATTTTTCAATTTTCTTCCTCCGCAGGGGATAAATGAGAATCCTGCAATGATCAGTTGGGTCCTGCTTTGTTTTGCCGTGTTTTCTGTTTTCGGTATTACTTCCAGTGTTGAAGTGACGAGTGGTCAGCAGTTTCCTGGTAACATCACCCTCGGTGGTCTCTTTGTCGTTCACCAGACGACTGATGATGGCGCATGCGGCGAACTTTACCCGCAAGGACTTGGTAATGCAGAAGCAATGATTTTCGCTATTGAGGAGATAAACAGAAATCATAGCCTGCTTCCAACCATAACGCTGGGATATGACATACGTGACTACTGTGAAAGCCCTGAAAAGGCAATGAGGCAAACGTACGATTTTGTCCGGGGAAACGACGCCAGATGTGCTTTTCCACATGTAGAAAACAAGACCATAGAGAAAACAAAGCCGATTGCAGCAGTTATTGGTCCATCAGACTCAGGAAGTGCTGTTCTGGTTGGTAGCCTTTTGCAAGTGGGAGGAATTCCCGTCATCAGTCACTCAGCAACTAGCAATGAGTTGAGCTCAAAGCAATACCATCATTTTTTCCGCACTGCTTCCCCAGATGGACAACAGGTGAGTGCTGTTGCTGATGTTCTACAGTATTTTAACTGGAGCTATGTAGCTGCCGTGGCAATGGATGATTCATATGGTAAAAACGGCATGAGAAGTCTGGAACTTGAGGCTGAAAATAGGAGCACGTTTTGCCTTTCTTTTGCTGAATTTATTCCACGGAAGGAATATAATACAACAATAAAAAGAATTGTAAGGAAGCTGAAGGACTTCCCAAACATTGGCGTCGTAGTCCTTTGGGTTTTTGGCAGTTATGGCCGTCATTTTCTAGAGGAAGCAGCAAAACAGAAACTGTTTAATCGCACCTGGATTCTTAGTGATGGTTTAGCCACACAAGATGATTTGTTCAAGGGCCTAAAAACTGAAGACCAAGTAATTCTTCATGGGTCATTCGGTATTCAGCCTCCATATGTTGACATGAACAGTAGCAATTTCAGCAACTTCCTGATCGAAAGATCGACTTCGTTAACCAATTTTTCATGGTGGAAGGAATTTTGGCTGTCGGAGGACAACAAAGACTGTTTCAAAATGAAGAATACAGAAAAGCAATGCAAGGAAATAGTCTTCCACAGATTATGCGAGACCTACACTCCCTATGTGGTGGATGCCGTATATGCTATTGCCCACGCCCTTCACAGCATGAAAAACTGCTCTGCATCACAGTGTAAGAATCTTGGAGATCACAACATTCCAATGAATACAAAGGATCTCCAGAGATATCTTCGTTTTGTTAAGTTTTCAGGATTAACTGGTGAGGTCAGCTTTGATCATTTGGGAGACCCTGTATCATCGTCATACGAAATTGTCCATTTTCAGGTTACTAACATATCAAATCCAGAAAAGCTGATCATTGGCTCGTGGTTAAAAAGCCGCAAGCCAAGACTTCACTTGAACCTTAGCAAGGTCAAGTGGAATTCCATGACTAACGGTTTTTTTCCGAAGTCATTCTGCCATGAGGATTGCCCTGTAGGCACAAGTCGGTCAATGACCACACCCTGTTGTTGGAAGTGCCTCAGATGTCCAGATGGAGCAATTAGCGCACGAATAAACGAGGAAAACTGCACCGAGTGCCCTCGAGGACAGTTACCCAATGAAGAGAGGTCAAAATGCTTGGATCTTCCAGAAGTAGAATTCAGATGGTCAAGCGTCGCGTCAGTCCTTGTGATTCTCTTCAGCACAATTGGATTTCTTTTCATTGCCAGTTGCAGTTTCATCTTTCATAAACATCGAAAGACTCCACTAGTCAAAGCAGCTAATCGCGAGCTAAGTGCAATCCTTATGTTAACAATCACGATGTCATTTTTAGCATCGATTTTAACTCTTGCCAAGCCAACAGACTTTGTGTGTGGTTTGATTTACTGCTGGCGGGCTATGGTCCTAGTTATGTTCATCTCCGTCCTGATAATCAAGACCATGAAGATTCTCAGCGCATTTCACATAAACGTTGTGGCGGAGAAGTTCAAAAAGTTCATTTTAGTTACAAAAAAACAAACAGTAATCGTTCTGGCGCTTCTTTTTCCACCCACTGCACTCTTTTTCTTATGGATTGCATTGGATTCACCGCATCAAAGACGAATCATTCAGATAAACGAAGGTACATCTCTTTTTACGTGTTCCTTACATCGGTCAACAGTTGGAATGAGTTTTCAAATCATCATCTCTCTATATACGTCCCTTCTTGCAGCGACTTGTACATACTACGCTTTCAAAGCTAGAACACTTCCTGAAAACTTTAACGAAGCCAGATATATTGGATTTTCTATGTACATTTTACTCCTTTCCTCGGTGGCATATTTGCCGATTGACATCGGACTTACAGGTGTCTACGCAACAAACTTGACATGCGCATTGATACTTGTGGCTTCTTACGGACTATTAACCTGCATGTTTGGGCCGAAGATCTACGCAATTCTAATCACGCCTGAGCAAAATACACATCATGCTGTAAGTTCACAAGTGTCGCATTATTCGTTTGGACTTTTTCGAAAGGGCAATACTGGCATTGCACCTGTGAAGTCAGATGCAACATACAACCAACAAAACATGCAACGGGAATTTTCCTCGACAACTCAAGTAACTACCTAGAGAGGTATTCTAAGATCTTCAATATTGTCCGAAAAAAGTGTTCAAGGACTTGAAGGATCACACTAAACGATAGATATGATTTTCTATAAAGTCAACAATCATTCACAAGGCGCGAAGTATTTACCACATTGTGCAACTAGAAATAATTTTAAGAAAACATTTTGAGCCATCTTAGTCTCGACATGGGGAGACAAACCCAGAGGAGTTAGGCGGCGATATTTTTGGCTGTTTTCATTTCTACTAAAAAATTTAGTAAACTTAAAAATAAAATTGTTTGCTAGTACTTACATACACCGACGATGAGCAATTTTGAATTAAGTGTTGAAATAAATCCGGGATTCCTTCAGCTTTGCTTCACTTCGCTTTGTGATTGGCCCAGAAAAATTCGCTCCATTTTCTCAACCAATCAAATTTCAAACTAAAAGCAATCGCGACTTAGTCGCACGCGTTTTCCCGCGCTTCAGGTGGTTTCTTTTTTCCTTATTGCTCTCATGCTCCTTACGATATTTTCCTTTGTTTTGATTTGCTTTGCTATTACCTCTGTTTTGGTTTGCGACACTCAATCCAAATGCACTCTGGCTATGGAAGAGAATTACACATAACGTAACGTGCTAATTCTTCACATGCCCTTCTTGTCAGGCTAACGATCTTAGATTCATCGATTGATGTTTTAACCTCTTTTTATTTTGAAGGCTTCAGCTGGTTTTGACACTTACATTTACGAAAAAGACTCTTCTTGTCTCAGAAATGGCGACCTTATTGAAAAATAGATCATATCAAGAAATAACATGATCAACATGACATGTGATAATGATGTCGATATGAAATACTCATTTATGACACCTTCAATTCTATACATAATGAAGTATGCACAGTGGGTTTTTCCTCTTTAAATATCAGTCATACCATATCAGTTGTGAGATTATATCATTCAGATGCCGCACTCCAAATATACTTGTCAAAAATCTTCCAAAAGCAGCCTTTTCCATCCGTCGGTGATGTAATTGCTATTTATTGTCAGGAATACGGAAGAAGTAAGTCTGTTAATATTCATTATTATTGTGTTTTCACTTGAATGTGAAACCAAGAACACTTCAACGAAGGGAAAACAATTATTGGAGGCTAAAGGTAAAAAACAACTTGTTAATTTTCGTGCTCTGAGATGTAAGAAGGATCATTGAGACATACCGTTTTAAAGACATTTTCCTTCTTTTCATGTTGACTGCATAAGAACAAGCAAGTTTAAGTTTTTCGACTGAAATTAAGGTGATACTTGTGACACGACTACATGCCGCCCAATCAATAAACTAGGGTTCTCAAGTTAACTCGCATAAAAAATAAGTTTACGTTGATGGCTTAACCTTTAGTAAGTTGAGTTCTCCACAACTGCCAAAACTACAGAAACAAATGCCCAGCGCAAACGTCCGCTTATGTCGCAAATAGAGTACATGTGCTTAAGGGTTCAGATAACTCGCAATAGATAGACCTGCCTCGACTTGCAGTAAAAATTCTGATTCTATTTGGGTTAAGAAAGAAATTGACACGAAGATTTTTTGTGGGTGATGGTGGACGTCACTACAGTATCTACAGACTAAAAAAGATAAAAAAAGCTATTGTACCATATCAGAGTTCTTAACAATAGAATGGTGCCAGATGAAAGACATTACGGGAAAGGATAATTGTACTTAAGTCCACGAAATTTAGCACAAAAAAGCTTTTGCTGATCAGGCGAGAATTCACCTACGGTTTTTAAATGTTCGTTGCATGACAACAATGCACGGGTCGAGAAGACTACAAAATAGGTGATATTCTGTTGTTAAAATCAGGAGTGTGTTTAACAGCTTCAGAACGTCGGTCGGCGTTGCTGCCGAAAAGCGTGCGAGTCTTGTTTACGGTGCTATACACCTGTTCTTTTTATAATGCGTCACAAGCTAAATACACATAAATACGAATATAAGAGGAAAGCGCTTATTCCATTTTTTTTTGTTTTCAAAAATTTATTGTTATTGGTTAGTGAATAGCCAGTCGACGATGGCGTTCTTAAAATACATGTTCTTGGACGTCCACACCAATCTATCAAACTGTACTTAGTAACTTTTTCCTTTTTACTCTCTATAGAAAACGAGCGCGAAAACTTCGGTTAAGTCACAGAAATGCCAATTTGGTATGAAAAGTAGACCAAAGTGTGAGAAAGGAATACAACCCAAATATTTCCTTAAAATATTTCTACGAACCACTCAGGAACTAATTAAATTGATTTGTCACAAAAAAATGACAAGCTTTCGGCACTATGCTAAGTTTCCTTCAATTCAGCCGACACTTCTTGAAAAGGTAAATAAACCAGAAAAGCCGTGAAGTTTCTTAAAGAGAGATGTAATTCGTCTTGAAAAACTACTCGTCTAACAATGCGTCTTAATTCCTTAATGCGAATTTTTCCTAATATTTCAGCTAAACTTAGACAACATCCGCCGTCAGCCAAAATGAAACAAGAACGATTTTTTAAGTGTAACGCTCAAAAATTCAAATTATCTCTCTTTCGCAAACAGGTGTCCAAACATAATATTAGAAATACATGAAATTTGTCGATTTTTTCGCTTGAAACTCAAATCTTAATCGGGTCTCTTCAAGATCGAAAGCAGACTTTTTTCGCTTGATTCCTTTTCAAGAAAAACTTTCTACCTAACACATCGCTGATGAGTCCAAAGTAAGGACTTTATACTGTTATCGATACTACATCAGATTCGACTTTTTCGGTTGATCTCTCTAACTCAATAAGTCATTTTTCCGATGATTTGTTTCATAACTAAAAGTTAATCAAATAACTCTATTTGCCTTTGTAACAGGGAAAAACGTTTTGCGGAATGTTCGTAAACAACTGCGTGTTACTTTCAGTGGTGGTGTCCTATGGTTTTCAGACGTCGTCGGGGACGACAAGTAAAGATCGTTATCATGTGCCTGGCGACATCACAATCGGAGCTTTGATTACACTACACCACACCAATGATGATGGCGAATGCGGTGATTTTTCCCCAACAGGACTTGGCCATGTGGAAGCTATGAAGTTCGCCATCGATGCAATCAACAGGAACCCACAGCTGCTTAAAAATATCACTCTAGGATATGACATTCGAGACTATTGCAGAAGCACTGTAAAGGCAATGAAACACACGTACGATTTTGTCCGAATAAATGAATTGGCTTTAGAATTTCAAAACGCCAGGTTCGTTGGTGCATTAAAGAATAACACAGAACAGAAGAAACGTACTTCAATAACAGCTGTGATTGGTCCGACCGATTCAGGGGCTGCGATCTTTGTAGGGAGCCTTTTACAAGTGGCTGAAATCCCACTCATCAGTCACTCGGCAACAAGCGATGAGTTAAGCTCACCGCAGTACAGTTACTTTTTTCGCACTGCTCCCCCTGATAGAAAGCAGGCGAGGGCAATGGCCGATATAATAGATTACTTCAATTGGAGCTACGTGGCTGCTGTGGCAATGGACGATTCTTACGGTCGGAATGGGGTCCGGAGCTTGGAAACTGAGGCAGGCAAAAGGCAGACATTTTGCCTTTCTTTTGCAGATTACATACCAAGAGAAAAGTACATAACAAAGCTAGAAAGAACCGTGGAGAAGCTTCGAAGCCACACAAATGTTCGTGTTGTAGTGCTATGGCTATTAAGAGGATATGGACGTCGATTGCTCGAGCAGGCTGCAAAACAGAAAATGTACGACCGCACCTGGATTTTCAGCGATAGTTTGACAGCTGGAAGGGAGGAACTTATGAAAATGAAAGACGAACATAAGGGAGTTGTTCATGGATCATTTGGTATTGAACTTCGTCATTTTGATGTTCAATGTTTCCAAGATTTCTTGATCAAAGAATCCATCAAGTCCTTACAAGAGGAAAGCGCCTCTGCTCCTTGGTGGAAAGAGTTTTGGAAGCAAAAAGGTAATTCATCTTCCAATGAGACAGTTATTAGTTCGGTATACAACAGCTACATCCCCTATTTGGTAGATGCCGTGTTTTCTGTTGCCTTTGCTATTCACAACTTAAGCAAAATCTATCCTACAGTCGATCCAAAGAAACTCGAGGGGCATCTCCGCCAAGTCGCATTTCCAGGAGTAACTGGGGAAATCCAATTTGATCAGTTTGGAGACCCTAAAATATCGTCTTATGATATTGTACATTTTCAGATGAATGAAAACTCCGATTTAATAAAATTAGCCATCGGATCGTGGGATGAAAGTCGAAAGGGAATTCAGATAAACGTTTCCGGCATAAAGTGGAATACCGCGGCAGGTCACAAAATTATTCCAAAGTCATTCTGCCATAGAGATTGCCTTGCTGGTGAATATCAGTTGCCGACGACCTCTTGCTGTTGGACTTGCCACAAATGTTCGGATGGAACTGTTAGCGCTGGAGTGAATGATATGAATTGCACCTTGTGTCCCCGAGGAAAAAAGCCCAATGTACGGAGGTCAAAATGCCTGGATCTTCCTGAAGTAGAAGTCATTTGGTCAAGCACTGCGTCTGTCCTTATCGTTCTGTTTGCGACTGCTGGATTCCTTCTCCTTTCCATTTGCAGTTTCATTCTCTTTAAACTCTGGAACACTCCCCTTGTCAAAGCAGCTAACCGCGAGTTAAGTTCTATCCTTCTGTTTACAATCGCACTGTCCTTTTCTTCCTCTATTTTATCCCTCACCAAGCCTACGAGCTTTACGTGCGCTTTGCTTCACTGCTGGCGGCCCATGGTTCTCGTAACAATCATCTCCATACTGATAATTAAGACCATGAAGATACTCAGCGCATTCCAAATAAACGTTATGGCCGAGAGATTCAAAAAATTCATTCTTTCCACAAAGAGACAAACCTTTATCGTTCTGATGCTAATATTTCCACCAGCTGTATTCTGCTCGTTATGGATTACTTTGGACTCGCCACACCAGCAACGGATCATACAGACAAATAGAGGTTCAATCCTTCTCTCGTGTTCTTTGCATCAATCGTACGTTGGAATGAGTTTTCAAATCGCTATATCTGTGTACACGTCTCTTCTTGCAGTGGCTTGTACATATTACGCCTTCAAAGCTAGAACACTTCCTGAAAACTTCAACGAAGCGAAGTATATTGGATTCTCTATGTATATCTTACTTCTTTCAAGTATAGCATACTTCCCTATTGACATTGGCTTAAGGGGTTCCCACGCAACAAACTTGACTTGCGCCATGATACTTGTCAGTTCTTATGGACTATTAATTTGCATGTTCGCTCCGAAGATTTTCGTAATTCTTCTCAAACCTGAACAAAATACACACCAGGCCGTTGGTTCACAAGTGACGGACTACT